TAGCTACAAAACTTTCTGCCTCACTTTCACCTAAAATTACCATCTTCTGCTTGCACGATTTGTGTCACTCCTTATAGCCAACTTCAACGATGGCTACACTGCCTGCAGTATCTATAAAATTCGCAATCAAGCAGTGTGGGCTATAATTCGACATTTAGGATCGGCAATCACCATAATTGCTGATCCGATGCTCCAAACTGAGCTTGATGCTATCTTTTAATTACGGCTTAAAGATATCTGTTGTAGCTGATACGGGTATTGATAATTTACTGTAGCTATTGACTATTTGATCTCATCGGTTCGAGATGTAAAAATGTAAACTGCAGCTGAAGATCGTCATGGAGATTTGTTTGAGAATACAGTGAGCATTTATAGTTTCAGTGTAACTAAATTCTCTATATATAATGTATAGCATTGGGCATATATATGCCTAGACGAAGAACACAATCCCCACTAAGCGCATATAAAATTTTACCAGTAGAAAAGCAGCCTTCTTAAATAAAACATATACATCTAAGCCATCGCTTTAAATATACCTTCGTGTGTTTTAAGGTAATTATTCTATGAATATGTTTGATAAACTTTAGTATTATGTGTATTATTATTTTTTACCCCTTCACTTCATACACAATATAGGGGTTGGTTCCCTGAAGACACCGATTATATAGTGTACAAAGCATTGGGTATCTACAGTCATCTAATGTTCATCTATTATTTACTGTAATTACTGTTTCACCCCGTACTTAAGCTTCTTGAAAGAACATAAGATGTTTGTAAGAAAACTAACTTCAATAAATAATGATAACTTCATTTACACTAGAATTATAATTTGTTTAGCTTATAAAAATATCTAAACAACTACCATACGTAATGCACAATGGTCCGTTTAGTAATACTGCCTCTGTTTGGTTATAATAATCGCGCCTGTTTTTGTTGTAAGCTGGCGGAACAATAATAACAATAAAAGAAGAACAAATGGGCGATCCCTATTATGAACCTCTCTCATGGTTCATGATACTCATGAAGTTACTTCACTGCCCAGGCTGAGAGTAAAATTCAACGAATGACGCGAGTCAATGAATGTCCGAATGGTAGATAAGCATGAAGTGGCAACAACAGAAGAAATATACAGTGAAGTTTTTTCAATGGTCTGATTTGGTCAACTAATTACAAAATATGGATGCGAAACGTGTCACTGAAGCAAGTGAAATCTCGAAGGATGTAGGCATATGAAGTATGGCGTTATAGGCGGCTCTACAGAATTTTCTATATGGTGTACAGATTGAAATGTGAATTTTCCAGCAACATGAAGTGTAGTGTCACCTTTTTGTCCACACTAAGGTCAGGAAAATTGAACAGTTTTAACATATCTCAAAGCAAGATATCTGAATAACTTTTTTGTTCTTGTTTCTTTCTACCATAATGATGGCATTTCCTGACCGACTGCACCTATCTGTAACCAATTGCATTTATCTCATTGACGCTAGTTATACTTTTAATTCAGTTCATTGACAACATTCTTGTCTACTTCAACCAAATATCTGATAAATATATCTTATCTAATCCAACCAAATATCTGATAAATATAGCTTGTCTACGTCAATCAAATTGTTTTTCCTCAATAGAATTATTTGACGTGTGCACAGAAAGTACGTATGCTTCTAACCAAATTACAGTAATAATAAGTGGATCTTACTATGTGGAATTTGAAAGAAACATGTGATCCCTCTGAATAAGAGAATTACGGTAGAAGTATGAAGCTGTTCTTCGAGAATATGAAATGATATTAAACATAAACATGGCCACTCTCAGAAAGAAAATGCGACATTGTAACTGAACTCTCGTCCCTTTATTATTACATTTTGTTTAGTGGTCAACAATAATATTACAGTAATCTTAACACAAGTAATAGAAGATCTGTCATTGTGAACAATATTGCAGGTAATGATAAGCTGTAAGTAACACTGCGTACAAGCAAAATCAATTACAACACTTTATGCAAGTGTGGAGAATAAATAGACAAGAATTACCCAACATTCAAATGAGATTTTGAGTTATACAGAATAGTGAGCATGTTATATTTGAATATGTAACTCATCAAGTCACGTTACAACCACATCCGATATAAAGTCATGGTGTAACGGATTTTATCAGAACTACATTTTGGCATTGTTTGGCGTTTCGTAGGTTACGTGATGTCAACGAAGACTGATCGCATTTGATAAGAGTACGTAACATCCCTTTCCAATGCAAGATATTTAAAATATGCTCAGACTGTGAAATTACAATTTCAAAAAGGGAAATACGTTACAGGACATTCTCAAGAAACACGGTTGTGATATAGAACATGATGATGCTATAAAATCGTATTAGGAATATAAACTCAAACTCCATATACTCAGCTGACGGCAGTGACGCACACGTTCCTCATATTTTGTGTCGCCCTCACTCTGAACTTTCAAAAGATAAAATATGTTAGACTAGTAATTTTTCAAATTCTTAACTATGCATCTATAATCCGATTTTTGACACATTTAAAAGTTTTCGTTATCTGCTTTTCATCGTATTCAGAATGAAACACGAAACAGGCATTTTCTTACCTGTGATTATATAGTTTAAAACAAGTCTTTACATTACTCATAAGATGTTATGTTCATTTTGTCGCACAAGAAACTTTAAAAGTCATTAATTCTAGGACGTTTATGACATATTTCACAGTACAAAATCTTATAATCTTACCTATCTACAACACTCTTCATTTGTCTCGTAATAATTCAACAATGCCTTTCTAATAGCTTTCTAAATCACGTGTACTCCTCTAGATGAAGACTCCGCCTTGTACACTTGAGAACCCATTTTATTATAACAAAAGAATTGAAAGTAATTATTTCGTCGTGATAAAACTCCCGAAGTAAGTAAGTGATTCATTGATAAAACCCAATGTATGTCGCAATATAAGTAAAACGGCAACTACATCACTATTCTTGTGTACAAAATGAGAGATTTTTGCACCTGAACACTTAAACACGAAGGTGACTTGGAACAAACAAGTCTGTGGAGATCCATATGATACATTTTACCTATAAACCACAGAGAAATATTCTACGTGAATTTGAGACTAACCCCATAAGAGCTTTCTTTAATTACACATCTAGTGTAAAGAAATTAGATATTTATTACTTGCTGAGATAAATATTCTAAACCAAACTTCTTGTGGGTAGCTCAGGATATGTGCATTTTATTCCCCAAACAACACCAAACTTTATGTGGCTTATTCAGGGCATGTGAATTTATTCCCCACATGAAATCAGATTTTATGCGGGTGGCTTTGGCTACGTGGATTTTATTCTCAACGTGATACTGGATGTTATGTGGAAACTCATATTATGTGAATATTACTCCCCACATAACACTTTACTCACGACTTACACTTATTTACTTATTTACACTTACACCCTCAAGAGATACGAACTATATTATTTATTACTAGTAAAATATTTGACTGTCTGTTTTTTACTGAGTAAGAAAATTTGTTGGTTTATATCATTCACTATAATGGATAACAAGAGTTTACGAAGCTAATTGATACTGGAGGCGTCTCTCTCTCTTTATGAAAATATATTCAAAGTTTGGACGCAAATTCCAGGATTTATGCTGTAATTTGATACTTGGTAGCAATTTATTTTCTAAGTTAAAACGTAATATTTCCTTATAAAGTTCAGATAACATGTACAACTTTCACACTTTACCCTAAGGTTGCTAATTTATTTCACAAAACTTTGAACGTAGCTATAAATAACACTTTCTTGAACAGGAGATACTGGTGTTTGAAAAGTCTGAAGACTGTCCATCGTTTTTGAAACTTGTTGAAGAAGATGACGGATCTGCCTTTACTGGTTCTCCTGCGATTGATCCTAAAGAAACGCCTTTACTGTTAACGTTTTCTAGTGGAACTACTGGATTACCCAAAGCCATTGTACATACTCATTACACTTTTCTTTCTGCAGTTATCATTGCCACGTAAGTCATTCTACACAGTTTTACTCAGAAATCAAATAGTTAAAAAATGATTTTACAATTGTTAATAAGATTTCACTACATATTTTATATTACAGCTATAATAATACAATAACAAAGTACAACAACATCCTTTAACAAACGATGACCTAATTCATGATGTCATCTTTCTCTCATGCGACCTCTAGTTAATATTTGACTGTGAACTACACACGTATAAAAAAACTTGACACAAAGTATTTAGTGTTATATGTAATAAACGGATCACAAAAAAATCATTAAAATACCATGTTTAAGTATTAATATTTGAATTAAAACTCTCTTATATAAACTGTAATATGACAAAACTCCATATAATCTATTAAGTTCTTATCATGAAAAAGGTTTTATATATATATGATTTCTACTATGCCAAGATTGTTTCTTTCTCTCTTTGACTCATCAGAGTAAGCTATATTTTCATTGTTTATTTCTTAATTGTTAAGCACAACGTTTTAGAATGAGCTATCTGTGTTGTACCCACCAGAGTGATCCAACACAGAATTTTAACGTTCTAAGTCCTTAAGATAAATTATCAGAAGGGGCCACAATTGTAATAATTTGTTGGTTGCATTTTTTACCACAGGCTACATATGCAAAAAACAAGAACAAAGTAGATCAAAGCTTAGCCGTTTTTATGAGTAAGATTCTCTGTCTGTTTCTAGCAACTCAAACAAGAAATTTATTTCGCCTTCATACTTATATTGTCTGTATTTTTGGTACGTTTGTATAATTTTACATATTTTCTTGCATTGCATTATCTCAGAGAAAATTGGATGTATTTTTAACTTAATTTTTCCATATATTTTTATCATAAAGACATCCGACTGTTTGGAAGTTTTCCCAGGATGACATTGTTCTTGGAATGTATCCATTTTGCCACGTGGGGGGGTTTCTCTTTCTTTTTGTTGATCTGTCTCAAGGAGTAACCCTAAGCGTTGTACCATCCTACGAGTCGGACTTATTTTTGGAGGTCATAGAAAAACATAAGGTAAGCATCCAAGAATAATTTGACTCATTAGTAATCACTATCGTTCAGTAATTCATTGCTATTCCAATTTATCTAAACCTCACTTCTATTATGGCTAAAACACTGATTAAAGTAGGCCCAGCTTCCCAGCTAAGAAATTTGCTACATAGAGCCTCTTCAATAAGGTCATTCAATTTTATACAACATTTTATTAAATATATACTGTATATTAGGAAAGAAAAAGTCTTGACCAGGTGTAACAACAGCCAGAGTCGTACGACCTTGGACGATTTTCCGCGACAAGGTAAAAAGTTCGATATGTCCACTCTCCCAGATCCACCTAATTGTGGATCTTATCCAGTGAAAACAAGTTTCTGCGCATAATCATAAGCTCCACCACAAACTTTCAAACATCTTATAATATTGTTTCTTTATACCCCACCCCCTCAAATGTCCATTTTATTCATTGATCTAATGGATCCTCTGATTGAAAATGATTTTCATGCACTTTCAATGTATGCCGTTCTTCTTTGTCATCATGATTACTTCACTACAATGGATACTGTTTCATATGTCTAAATAACTAGTAATAGTCCCTGGCGGGCCATAATTGACTTTCACTAATTATTTTCGATATTAATATAACTGGCACCTTTTTCACACTTGTATCACACATGTGTTTTTCAAGCGAAAGTGTGAGATAATTTTAATCTATTATGCTAGTGAGTTAATTCCATTTTAGTTACATTATATGTTTAATTAGAAGACTATTATTAATTTTTATATTTTAAAATGTTGTTAACCCTGTTATCATTTATTTTGAACTCCTCATAATGGAAACTTTCCAAACAATGGGAATTTGTAAATAATAAAGAATCAGCTGTGAATGATAACCCAAAACAAGACCTCTTGTTAGTTACGAGTTTCTTTTTATTTAGAAAATTGAATGCAAATGACAACTTTCGTTTTAGTTTTTCGTCTTACGTTATAATAAAGGGAAAAAAAACTTTTCTATTGGACACATGTAACTATATTTTACTTTGCAGGTTTCTGTTGTGCTAGGAGCAGTTTCAATAGTTTATCGACTTCTTAGAGACCACAAGGTGCACCAGTATAATCTCACCAGTGTAAAGGAGATTTTAACAGGGGGAGCTCCTCTCAATCAGGAATCCAATGAACAAGTTGTTATGAATGCTTTTCCTTTCCTAAGATCTCTCCGACAAGGTAAGAAGTAAAAAATTGTCGTTTCACAGACAGCAAACTAGCTGTGAAATTACTGATATGAAAATGGATTCGCAATGGTATATAATACAACAAGAAGTGAAAGAACTTGTTAACGAATATGTACGTATGTTTATAAAATCAATAAAGGCAACTTGAATAGTGTGTAAGACAAATCGTGTTTAAACACTAGACGAATTTGCATACAACTGTGTGAGTAGTTATCCTGATACCCACGCAGAACAACAATTGTAAAAAGTATACTTAAACAAAATCAGCTGTCTTTTCAGCATTAAGTTAAATGTGTTAGTAACATTATCCTCCGATAGAAATACAAGTAAATGAAAAATAAGTTGAGACATGTTGACATCTGCATGTTGTCCTACAGAAGTACAGAAACACCTTTGTAAAACGTACCTTATTAAACGTAACTTGAACGCTGTATGCAATCCTGTTAAACACTATATCTTTTAAGACTATCTGCTTATAGAACCTTAGTAACACAATCTTGTCAAACACTATCTGCCTTTGTAAAACATACGTAAATGAAAAGTATAAGCATGAGTGTAAATCTGTATGTAATGCTATGAAATACTGTTTGCCTTTGTAAAATGTATACACAAACACTACACTTAGTAACAACATCTGACTATAGAACCGTAGTAACATAATCTGCTTAGTAGCATCATCCACCTCTGTAAAGCATATGCAATAAATACATGAACACAAGTTGAAATCTGTATGCAGACATACGAGACTATCTGCCTTTGTAAAACATACATAAGCCACCTAGTAACAGCAATCATCTACTGCAACAGTATTCACATATAGAACCTAAATATAAGTATTTTCCTATAAACTTTAGTAACAATGTCTCTCTATAGGAACAAGCCCTATGTGTAAAACATTAGCAACACCATCTGCCTACAGAACTTTGGTAATGCCAAGCACCTATAGAACCTTATCAATACTATCCGCCTATAATAACAACATGCGCCTATAAACGTTAGTAACACAAGCCACCTTTAGTAACAGTCTTTCTTGTATCAATTTATGATATCACTGTTCCCTATGACGTCATTGTCTCTGACGTTCTACCTTTCATTGCTGCCTAGCAACTCACCCTCTCTTTAAGCTTCGTGGAATTATTATGTTGTCGTCTATGGTGACGTCATCCAATGGCGCTAGGACCCTCTGGTGACACTTCGTGGAACTATGACGTCATAGTCTCTACTCCTCCCCATTGACTAAAGTTTACACTCTTGTGACGCCCTCTGGTGGCGTGCCACGCGGGTACCGGGATAACCACTCGTGTGCAGTGCCTCCCAGTGCCAGAAACATTTTGCCCTTTTGTCTTGCGCTAGAAAATGTTTAATTCCTGTGCTGAAAACGAATTTAATACATACCTAGTTGTCAGAATAGGAAAAGGGAAGCATTCCGTTTTTGACTTGAATAAGATGTAAAATTTCTAGCGATAAATTGTGCTTATTATTTTTCTATATTATTATTAAAGAAATGTTCGTTAACTTGTTTTGTATAATTTAACTGAAATTCATAGCATATGTTAAATTTGCTAAAGAGCTTGTTTAATGGAAACAGAACATACGAGTTATGTGTTCTATGATACTATTAAAATGATTTATTGACCAAATTTTGAAAAATCATTAGTTTAGAATTTTTTTCAGTTTCTTTACCGTTTACTTGTTGTTGATTTTTAGAAATTGATTAAAACTATGACATCTTAACGAGAATCTGTATTAAACATTTGCATTTTGTACAACTTAACTTATAATTTTTGTTTATATTATTGTGATGTATCTAAACTATTCAAAAACATTTCGTTCTACGTGTTTTTTGATAATCAAAGACTAAACTAAAAACAGACGATAAACTATTTGACAGTCACTTTAGGCTATAGTGTAAATATTATCCTGCACTTTGTATTAAAGTTTACTTTGTTAATTTATTTTCAATTGGTCAGTAAAATAATTTCATTCTTATTTCATGAACTGTACCACAGAATACATTTCTTATTAACGTTTTAATGCATGGTAATAATTTCTAAGTGTGTTTCATTTATGTATTAGTCTATGGATTAAGTGAAGTTCTTGTTGTTACTTGCGTGGAAAAAGGAAAGACTACTCCTAACTCGGTTGGAAAATTAACTTCTTCAACAGAATTGAAGGTTTGTTTTTGCCTATATCCATGTTAGTATTTTACATCATTGTTTGTGGGCTATTTGTGCTATACCCACCAGGAATCTTAGTATTATAAGCCTTCTAGCTTATTACTGAGCTTGTGGAAGAGGTGATTTATTGCATGAAAGTTTTCAGCAATTTTTTAAAAAATGGCGATATAATTTTTGACTTTTAGTGGATGAACAGGACAAATAAACTTTGTATTACTTTGCACACGAACTAAGTAAAATACAATGAAGTCTTCGTTCTATCTCAAAAATTAATTAAATATGGGCCGTATTAATTTTATATAGAGTATAGACAATTACAGTTACACAATTCTTCATAAAAGGGAGAAGTTAACTGCAACTTGAGGTAACTTGAAACTGATGTAGACACAAAGAGGTCATGTAAAGCTTTACCCAGAATGTATAATATCATGTTGTGTATAGGGTCGAGTGTCAGATATAGTTGGAAGTGGGTAAGTTACTCTTAAATATAGCTTTTATACGAACTAAAATTTCATTTTGAGGAAACCATATAAGTTATTGTTAGGATAATAATGTGTATTAAAATATTACAATAGGGTTTATTGTTAGTATAATGACGTTACTTTAGTAATGTTGGTTACAAGTGTTACAGTGAATATTATATGATTAGCAAGAGAATTAGATAAAATTGAAAACTGGAAAAACATTGTTGTTGAATAATACATAAAATATAGATGTAATTAAATCCTTAGAATTTTATTTTGCTTATTTTGAACATAATGCTTCCAATCCTTATGATGTTTGTGAAAGTATTTTATATTTAAGTTAGGGATTTGAAACAATGTCTCTACAGG